TGGGCAAGGGGGTGGCGGCCAGGCCGGCCCGTGCCGCAGGCCCCAAATTGGACCCCGATTGCACTGATGATGCTTGCCTATGACGGGGGGCGCGCGCGCGGGGCACAATTGGGACCCCATTTGAGGTCATTTTCGGTTAGATTTGAGAGAGACTTTCCAACCATACAATAGACCCTACAAGCCATCCCAGCTTCATACACTTCTCCCGATCAGGACCAGCAGGAGGGCTGGTTTTGACATGATGGCTGGGAGGGCAGGGGGGCTGGCATTTGCCGGCTGTTGCATCTTTCACCGAAATATGTGACCGTTAACTTTAACTTCTTGACCCTGCCCTGGAATAGAGCCTGAGGTGTTCTCTTTTGCGACCGGTGTAGTGTCGAACTTCAAGCCAAACGACTCTAGCCGTGTACATCCCCACACCGCATAGAGGATCCCAGGCACCCTAGCCATACGATCGCAAACAATAGTCACCCCCAAAACCTGACTCCTGCAGATAGCCCTGAACAATAACTGTGTGTCTTGAATGCATAGCCGTGTCGATTCTCATGAAGCCTTTGAGAAACGGAGCTACTCTTCAAGGTCTATAAGCCGTAGACCGTAGTAAGCCCTGACAAGCGCCCAGCAGAACATCTCGTTGTTCTTGTCATTGGCCCCCAACCTGCGATAGACAGGTCAGGACTCAGAGCGGGTCCGGGGCTTCAGGGACCTATAGGGTTTAGGCTTTTTAGAGTTCTTGGTTCAGGGCTTCGGGACAATGATTGCTGCTGCTCAAAGGATAACGGGGTGGGGATGGATCCTCAGTATCATCCCATTTTGTCTCCTTAAAGTGTCACCACGTTGACTCCCCAACACTGCATCCTCCCTGAAACCCTTCAGCTGTTGACTGCAAGCGCAGTATAAGCAAAAGCTGGAAACACTTGCACGACAATCTGTGCCTGGGCTTGGCGATTGATTACATCCCTGCTTCTACAGACAACATACTCAGGACCAGGTCGCAGTGAACTGTACAGTTTGGCTTTTGCAAAGCGTACCAGAAATCATGTGGCGCGTGCACATACTCCAGGAACGCTCACACAACAAAAACACAAGCAAAATCAGCCAAATCGAATTCACACGGAAGAGAGCATGCGTGCGCCAGAACTGGCTACAGGAACCTGCGATGTCGCGCAGCCGTCAGCGTCGCCTGCGGCCTGCAATTGCTAGGTCGAGATTCAGGGCGGGTGCATAGGGTCCGTGCCTTCAGGTTTAGGGCGTTTTGGGGCATATGAAGATGGGTTTTAGCTTTATAGAGTAAAAGGTTCAGGGTTTCGGGGCACGGCTTGCTGACGCTCAAGGGAAAGTGCTAGGTGGGAGTGGATCCCCGTAATCATCTTATGCAATGCCCTTCAATCTCCCCAAGTTCACTGCAGTACCTAAATTGCGGCGTGCCCCGGAGAAGTTCATGATCACGAAAAAAATTGTCTTAGAGAGTATGAAGAAAAACAACATAAATTTCAGCCAAGTGTCGACAGTCGCAGGGATCGCGGGGGTCAGGTCGCGATCCTGGCAGTTATCGCTTTTGGACCCTTGGGCCCTCCTGGTGTTTCAGAAGCGAGGACTTTCACAGGGATTACAGGGGTCGGAGTCGTGATCGTAGCAACTGTTGTGGCTTTTGGACCCGCAGACCTTCTTGGCGCCTCAACACCGTCGACAGTAAGTCACAGGGATTGTGGGGCCAGGGCATTACCAAGACATGACTTGGTAAAACTACAGTAAGCATGACTAAGCTTGATTTGCATTGAAACAGGCTGCTGTGGATTCTGAAAGGCCCTTTATTTTGCATACAGTTTAAGCCTAAGTGGAACTGCATCAAATCTTAATAGGATTGTTCGAATTTCTCAGATCCAGCGCACCCGTTCGCAGAAAACATTCCGCTTAAATCGCTTAAGATTTAGAAAAGTCAATTGACATGTCAGTGCTTCTGGATGATCTTAAATTCAACGGCAAAGTCGCTGAAACCCCCATATTAAAAATCAATCGTGTGCAATTACGGTACCATGTTTGCATTAAACATTTTCAGTTGGACAGCTGAATGATTTTGTGCTGCCAAACGTATGCGGGTTCACAGAGCAAACCATTGAGGTGGAACTTGGATCCTTTAAAACATCATTGACAATGTTGAAGAAGCTTACGTTCAAACCTGTAATTTGTGAGTGCTTAGCATGCTACATCAAACTATACATATGTGATTATGTATGCATGATAATGACCACCAACCTGACGTCGTGACTTGCTGAGTGGGACCGTTGAACGCTGCATGTAGTCGCATTCCTCATTCATTCCGAGTACTGGACGCCTGAGATCAAAGAGCAACACAAGTCGCGTGCTTCAATAATGTCCCTACAAATCCCTGCAGCTCAGGTCTGTCAGCAAAGCCTTCGTGGTAGTCTGCAGGCCAGGCGCGACTGCCTGCGGTTTGGAGCACTTTCCAGTGGATCGAGAATTCCGCGTGGCTTGCTTACTGCAAACCCAACAGGACTCGAACAAATCTCTGGCTGCATCATACCTTTCTTCATACCAAATGGGGGTCATTGTTTCGATCTCTGCTCATGTTTTTATGCGGTTTCTGGGCGCTATCGGTTTCTTCTCTGCTTTTCGAAATTTGGGCTCCCGGCACCATTTGGAGGACTGTTCGGGCCTGACTAAATTCCTAACAGGGGGGTGATTATACAAGCTTACCTGGAAGATCTTGTAAGATTTCCGTCCAGTGTGTGTGTAGAGTGTGAGAACATCGCACAACCGGGATGCCAGGGCAAGATGCAGTAGATTGCAAGAATGTATATTCATTCTGGGACACTCCGTAAACAAGTTCATGTTCTTGTCCGCAGATCATTGGCTTTGAGAGTTTCAAAGACTGATCTCAGTCAGCAAGGTTCTCACGCCAGCCAGCCCACTCATGAACCTGCAGCGCAACAGCACGCACAGAACTAATTATGGCCTGGAAGGCCTAATAACTTTGTTTGCGGCTCACAACTTCCACCACCCCACCCCACCCCCAAGAGGATACCAAACAACAGCCCAAGAGAAGCAACCAAGCAGATTTCCAAACATCACAACCAGAACGTGCACGAAAGACGTCCGCGTACACCAAATCGGAGGAACCAAGCATAAGGAATTTGCACAAGCAAAACCAATAGTCACCGCAATTCAACAGATGCAACGCCAGGCAAGCTGATATAGATGCACAGCCATAAGACTTCAATTTACTAGCGGAAAGAGCCTGTGACATTGACTGCTGGCTGACAGAACGGTGAAACAAGGCAGTGAAGAAATTGCTGGATGACCGTGAGCTGTGACCTTCTGGACCTTTGTGAAGGTCACGCAATGTCACACATGTCATGAAAGCCTGCACCACGTCTAAAATCTAGGAGATCCTTTGCGTGATGTGGCCTGAGATTCTACAACAAATGCAAACTGTGTTGCAATGCAATGTGTACTTTCAACTGATTCCAGCGCTCTTTTCAAGTCATCAACAGCATGCGCTCCTCCCAGCTTGTTCTGTTCTTGCACTTCTCAACACACCCTGTGCCAGTCTGGGACCATCTGGGACCTGTCTCGCGTTCTGATACCGTACGTTGCCAGCGCCAAGCAGCCCTGATAAGGCTTCTTCAAGACAGGTCATGGATTATGGATGGGCAAATCTGGAGCCTCGATGCCGATACCCGGCGGAGCTGAAATGCCAGGAGGTAGAGCCTGGCAGACATGCAGATCTTATGCTTTTCCAAGCGGTTGTATCCAATCATGTTTAGCTGTCTGACTATCTTGTCAAGCTTTTGATTGTTGGAGGGTGTCAACCCGGGAATTCAACACGAGCGGCGAACTCTGCGGCGATGAAGGCTCACTTGCATGTATGGCTAAATCAAATCTGGCAAGAGGGTTGCAACACAAGTCCCGATCCTTGTCGCCACGACGGCGAGCATAAGATAAAGCGATACTGATTGACTTATAGTATCGGCACAGCTCAGCTGACCATGATGTCTTACACGGGACTCAAAAGCAAGGCCCCCGCCACTGGTGGTCGCGGGAAGGCACCCCAAGCCTTGGGATCTGTAGATGTGCCCACGGCAAAAACGACCAGGTCATGAGCTATCATGAACATCTTGGCCCGCAACACCAGATTGAGCGCCCGTCGCAACTTTCAGTTCCAGGGCTGACAACCTGCAATGTGTCAACATGAGCCTGCGGACTCAACCTACTGATGCGAAGGACTTACGCAACAAGTGTCAAAGCGAACTTGTCACGACGTAACATTGTCCCAAATTATCCCTACGGGCCTTTCGAATAGCGGATCCAACTTCCGTTGCTTCCTCAGCGCAAGACGCAAAATCAAAACAGCCTGCGTTGAAGGCTTTGCTACTGCGAGCAAAATCGACGGCATTTTAATGACGAACATACGAAGTCCAAACTGCTGAAGGAACACTGCTTGCCAAATGCAGCCGTCATGTAGCCCGCAAGAGCCAGAACACGCGTTTATAACTCTTACTCAACTGCATCGCAGCCACGATCTGTGGGCTAGCTGGAACTCTAGGTTTTCCTGCCGTGGAGAATGTAAGAGCATGCCCTCAGCTCCTGACGTCTGGAACAGCATGCTTTGCGAATTCAATGTTGAGGGCCAGATTCAAGCTTAAGCGGAGGCGTCCAAATACTACTTCCGCCGAGGCGAACACATCCCACTCGGTGAGAATACACGTCATCTACTGCGCATGCTGGCATGAAAGATTTCACATCAGCGGGATGTTTGCACATCAGAAAATGGTAATCCATGATAATCCCCATGTCGATGTAGACGCTGATTCCAGGGCAGCCCGACGCAAGGGTGGATTTTCCGTTGTGCTGCAGACGCTGGGGTTCGAGAAGAAAATAAAAAGATTTAAGCTTTAGATTTCGTATGATTCCCCATGTAGATGCTGGTTTTACACATGCCCCCACATGAAATGATGACATGCTGTCATTTACATGCTTTTCAACTGGGTCCCCCAGTGTGGACGCTGCTCGACCATGCTCGACCTGCAAAAGCCCAGCCGACATGAGGTAATCTGACCTGTAGTACGTTGCTTTGCGACTACTTTTTCTGGTTTCTGGAAAGGAGCTTAATCTCAGATATGCGAAAACGGTCGTGCCGATGTACATTCCTTGGAACGGACTGTGTAACCACGCCACCTGAGAAGACACACGTCGTTTGCACAAGAATTTTCATTCTTTTTACCATTCCGCAATGTTGAAGGCCTGACCGTGGACAAAGGACCACCAATCCATTCGCAAGCTTGCGCGGCACATAAACAGTGAACACAAATCTCACATGAAATGCATGGGATAAGTCATGTCCAAGGTTCTGCTGCTGCTTAAGTCTCGCGTCCAGCTGTCTCAGCTGCAGCTGGATCTGGCAAGAGGCCAGCAAGAGGCCAACACGGATGTATTAATCAAACCGCATGGTTTTGCTGTACTAACACATGTGCTGCTCATGCAGTGCAAGGCGCCTCAGCAGTTTTCGTCGAATTGCCCTGCATCTTGCCGCATCGCTCACGAAGTGCATCTATAGAATCCTTCGCAGCAGGCTGAAACAATGACCGAAGGTCTGTACGCAATATGTGACTTTTTGCGGGGATGTGCTTCCGTGATCGTCTTGCCCTGGTCCCACATCCTATCCTCCCGCCCTTGCCTTGGCTCCGACCTCGAAAGCACGGGCTTGCTGTACAAGTATACCCTAGCAGGCCCGAGCATGCTGTGGATTTATGGCTTTAACATGTCGAGAACTGCATGCGTTGCAAGGAAGTGCTGCTTGTTGTGTCTGAAGCAAACCAATCGTTGGGATAGACGGAGGTCTCTCCTCAGACACTTCGTTATGGAAACTGACATTTGGTCACCCATCGCTTCATCTGGACACGCATTACGCCCATGTTGACTCATCGAAGCTGAGACGTGCCATGAGTTTTCCGGACCTTCTGGACCGAGGCCGTGACATGAGCATGGTCCTCCATGCGCATGAGCATGGCATGATGAAGCGCGCAAGTCGATCTTTGTGTTTTAGAACGGGTAAGGAAAAGTGGTCTGGATCAGGGATGCACTCGAATGATCCGGAGGGCTGAGTGAGCTATGGAACGGAGGGACACATTCCTCAAGCGCCCAACCCCATTGTGTGCCCGCGATGCCCAACCAGAGTTTATGATTGGAGCGCCCCTCCAGCAAGCAAACCTAAATGCCTACGGAGCCCAAACCTAGAGCGTCCTAACCGTGCCGAACTCGGGGTTTCTGGGAGTGTTTGGCTAGCTGCAGACTGCCCAACTACCAGTGTTTTTCAAAGCTCGTCCCAGCATTAAAACTTGAAAGGTTGCGTAAGGATAACAGTTGCTCCTGTGGTTTCCGCTGGGTGCACATCTTGAAATTTATCAAATGTTGATCCGCCCTTAGCTGGTTGGCGGCATCCGTAGTAGGTCTACTCATGAAGCATGGCTTCCTGCTTCCCTTGCCTGCGAGGCCTCCTGGCGTGCCAAGCCTGAGCAGGCAGCCCGCAGTCAACTGGTAGATGCTGGTAGATGCTGGCAGCCATTGACGTACATCGTTACTTGGATTTGGTTCCAGAACCGACCTAAACCATGTGAGGCTTTGTTGGCAGTTGGCCTGACGCCAGCGCACAGGGCAATGTGGTCCCATGCCATTCGTTATGTTTGTTGCCAGGTTTCCATCAATAAATAAGGCGACATCGGTGACACACTGGTGACACTCAACAGTGCGATTGGATGCGACAACGTGGGATGAGCTTCTTGAGTGCTTTCATGCCACAGGCTTGAGGACTCACAATATAGTTTTTCGCGTAGTTCGAGACTGTCGACTTCAGATTTGCAACCCCTGAAAGCCCTCAACCCCTGGTGGTCAAAAGGGTATGAAGCCAATCGACAGCAGTGTATTGCAAACTTGGGCGATATCTTGTCCAGCAAATATTTGCCTGGACAAATGTCATGCGGTCAAACACCTCACCAGGGCCAAAGCTCCCTGATACATTGCTTGTGAAACAGGCAGCGTACTGCTTTCACCTACGCAACGTCATTTGCATCTCCAACCAGTTGACAAGCTATGCACAAGAATCTGTGCTGTTGCTACACTCCGGCATTTCCAGATTCCATGCATTCACCCACCGGATTTAGAATGTGCAATGTTCATTTACTCTAATCTTCTATGTTTGGCGTCCACTTTACCGTACTCTGCCCCATATGATGCACCATGTTCTGCAGTTGTTTCGTGCGTGTTTGCTCGTTGAGCAGAGGCTTCAAAGGCCTCGTGATGCGGTTGCAACATGATCTTGCCTTTTGAACTGCCAGTTCTCCGCGGCGATCATTCTGCGAAATCAGCAGAAAAACTTTCCGCTTGCATGAACCTTCCAAGCAAGGATTTGCGCACCCCGCTTTCGGAAGTCATGCGCAAAGAGCTTACCAACAGACTTCATGAAAGGCACCCTCAATGGGAGGGGTTTGCATCTTGAAGTTAAGTCTTCAAATTAAGCCCACAAGGGCATTACTTATTACTTCGTAATCGTAGTCTTCCTGCGGGTGTCCCTGTTCGTAATGCTTTAGCAGAAGCCATGCTACCCCATTGCCTGCAGTTCGAGCCCAAAAGTTAAGAAAGGCCAGGTCCCAGGGCTGCGAGCAGTGACTGGCAAAATCATGTGCAGATGTGCAGTGCCTGAATTTGCGCCTGATTTCTTCCTGTCTGCGCAGTGGAACTTTTGTCTCTGGCAAAACAGTTTTGACAGTTTTGGATGTGCGTAGTGTGCCATGACCATGAGGAAGAGCGGTCCCTTCTTGGGGCGATGGATAGAAGGCCGTGGCCATTGGCGGTTATTGCACTAAGCCCTGCGCGGCACAGTTCGTGCCACTAGGAACGCAGGTATACGGAGGTCTGATTGACCTTCGTGGGCACCGTTGGCACCATCCTTCAGATCCAGCCAAGTTGTACTAAAGTGGGGACAGGTGCATGTTTTTCATCTCAACAATCTAATACCTTCACTCTGGGCAAAGTGGACGACCCATGGAACGCCGCAGGCAACGCCTTTCACATGCCAGCAGGAAGCTTTGACCTTGGTCAGTCCAGTTACTATTGCTTCAAGCCTCATTTTGTTGCTGAAGCTGTCTACATCAGCATAGCTCACCTCAACTCTAGGAAACTATAAGAAGATTTGTGAAATCCTCTTGATGCGTTGAGCTGTCCAACAAGGGCAAGTTGAAGAACTCTCGCAAACAGAATGGAAATGGATTGCCGAATGCCCTCCTGACACCTGTTTTTCTGACAAGTTGTTCCATGCCTAGCTGGAACGTGGGCCCGTTCATGTGAGTGCATCATTCGCATTCCTCGCTCGCGGTGTTCCCGTACAGGAGTCCCAGGCATTTTCCTAACTAGGTTTCTTTCCGACCATGGTTTCTCCAGGGATGAGGATTGGGATTTCATCAAGCCCTATGTGGACTCGCTTCCTTGTAACATTCTTCAGATGTTTACATCTGGTTCGGTTTTTTACCGGGCCGAGGCTGAAAGCGCAGGCATTTCTCAGTCCGATTCCTGTCAACTTTGCAGGTTGCGGGAAACTCACGAACACTTGTTCTGTGAATGCCAAGCATATGCTTGCCGGCCGGCCTGAGGGGATGAACCCCTGCTGTCTTGGACGTCTGGCATCATGGTAGAGTCCCAAAAGTTGTCCATGTTTCGTAACAACAGTTCACCCGACTTGAGTCTGCCCGATACGCCTCACAAGACTGCTTTTTCAGAGCCCATATTCGTCGACGGGAGTTGTTTCTATCAGAAGTGGAAACCGCAGTGTGCAGCTGCGTCTGCCGTTGTCATTCCAGCACATCATACGGTAGCAGTCCCTTGCCTGGTCAGGATTGCACGTCCCAGCGCGCAGAAATCTACGCAGCGGTGTCGGCAGTGCACATAACAACCGGCCCCATCAAGGTCGCAACAGACTGCGCGACCGTCCTGAACCGTATTCAAGTGCTCCAAGCCCATGACTGCGATAAAGCTGTAGCCCGCAAGTTTGACAATGCTGATTTGTGGTGCTTTTTTTTGTGACGTGAGCTTGGCTCATGAGGGTGCTATCCACTTCTTTAAAGTCAAGGCGCATATGTCAAAAGGTCATTGTAGGCAGCCCGAGTCGTGGACTCAAGGCAACTCTGCGGCAGGCGCAGCCGCCAAAAAAGTGGCGCGTGACCGATTTCTCCACCAACTGTCTGTGTATCGAGGCGGTCTGCAGCGAGCAGTTTGCATTCAGGCTCACCTTGTTCGTACTATGGCTGCTAGGGCTCAGAATGCCCAATTGGCCCCTAGTGACGAACATGAAGCAAACAGTAAGTTCCACTTGTCTGCTAAGACTTTTTTGTGCAAACCAGCTTTTCGACTCAGAAGCAAAGCACCAAGAGTGCGTTCGGGCTACTGCTATGGTTTTAGTGTGAAGTTGGGCGAGGTAGAAGATCACTTCATTTCTCTTTGCCTCAATGCCCTTCCCATTCCCGATAGCATCTCCCAAACGTAAACTGTATCCCGCATTCGCGCGGCTGTTCCGTGCCTCCAGGCCGAGCATGTTCCAAGCTTGCGAATGCGGGCACGTGTCCAGTGTGACGCAATCCAAGCGGCCAATCTCCCAAGCAGCTGCTATGAAGCTGCAAGAGCTTCTTAGGCTACCTATTTGGTGCTTCCATGAGAGTAATCAGGGCTGCGCGGTTACGTGGGTTCAATTGGCGCTTGATTTTGTGTCCCGCTATGGCTTCCAGCCGGGATGGCTGTCACCCGAGATGACTGCAGGTTTACTAGCCTCGCGATTCGCTCTGTGTTCTTAAGGCTGACGAAAGGCAATGATATCACGGTGACGCAGGCTAGTAGGTGCAGAAATCTACATGTTTTTGGGCTGCCCAATCAGTCAGGATTTTTTGGGACTGTGTGCTTCAACTCCTTTCTTCACCAGATGTTCATCTTGTATCAGGTTAATAAGTTCTTTGCAACCAAAACCCTTCTCCCGAACCAAAAGCCCTGTGCGCACTTCAAGCCTGATTTCTCTAATTTCGTTTCCATTCCTTCATATTCACCTGCTGCAGGCGTTAATTAAGTTGAGTCAGGATTTCCTCAATCCTTGCATCGAAGCCCGCTGTTTGTACTTAGTAGTCTTTAGGCTAGTTACCGACACACAGCTCAGTTTGACCATTCGCGGATTGTGTCTATGAGCGGCCAGTGAACTAATCAGGACTCCCGGATGGCTTGTATATGCTTATACCATGTTGTTCCGCAATGCGCATCATCAAGACCATGCTGACTTTCCAGGGCTCCTTGTGATGCTTTATAAGATCTGCGTTGTGGTTGTGCGCCAAGATGGTCTGGTGCAGCTCCTGCGGACAAGCAGTAGCTGTAAAGCAAACATGGGCCCGCTGCTTGCATCGAGACCATGAGGTGTTCGAATGATGCATGCGGTAGGGCATGCGCACACTTAGTTTCTCTCCGATCACGACGGCACTCTTCTGTGGCCAGCGTCATCAGCCATCAGCCTATCTGACAGGGGAGAGCTCGTCCTGCCGGTGGCATTACATCTTTGCGTTAGACTCCAACAAAAACAGCAGATCATGTCTGCTTTGTCAAGTCTAGTCCATCAAAGGCGAGGTAATTCTTGCTAACGCCGTTGAACTCAGGGTACGCTGTCCTTGGGCGGTCACGTCTAATAAGGAAAGATCTCAAGGTCTGAATGCAAATAAGGAGCAGGAATTGCTGGCTTGAGCTTTCCTGCAGGGCCAAGGCCATTGGCAATAGCTGCTTGCCGAGGCAATCAACAGCCAAGTGGAAGCAAAGCCTGAAAAATGTGTTTTGCTTACGCTCCCCACCGTCGGTGTTGGGCCATGCCCAGATGAGAAGCTCAAGGAGAAGATGTGACCCACCTCATCATGACCATCACGACGACAAAAAATCCGCAACGCGTTAGCACCCAACTTTGGTCAAAACCCATCAGTCAATCCACAGCCTTCCTTTCAGATTGTTATTGCTGTTCAGCCGCGGCGTAATGTTAAATCCGACAAGTCCGTGCTTAAACCCTAGCACAGCACGCGGCTACAGCATGTCGATCGCATGTGATCTCGCAGGTCCCCAGCTGAATCATACACCTAGTTGTTTCAGGAGCTAAATTGTGCGGTCCACTCTTGACCCCTTACTTGGACAGAGGCAATGGCGGCAAAATGTTCACAGCCACATCCACCAAAAAACTACTGTGAGAGGTCACTCCAAATCCGATACTTGAACGCACTGAAGCGCCATTGCAGTCTGGATATGAGTGATTGGGAGGAAACATTCCGAAAATGATTCAAAAGCTGGGCGCCGTCTGGTGTGTGAACCCTGCAAAAAGTAGATGAACTGGATTCCCAGATGCTTAATTTTGTACTTCAGCTGCTTAGCTTTGTGCCAAACTCAGTACTTTTGAAACAAACAAGCAGAAGCTTTGAAGATCGTCCACGTCAACATGGCTCACGGAAAGAACACTTTTTGTAACCTGTGTAGTACACCCCACATGTGGTTTGGGGATGTGATACGGTCTTAGGTTTTCATGGGTCGAATTCATCAAGATTTTGGCGTTTGGAAATTTGCATTATTTGGCTTTGAACAACATGTGCAAACTTCTCGAATGCCAATGCCGCGCAGCGCTTCAAAATGACACAAATACTGTAGATCAGCAACGCGGCGGCTTGCGGAACCTCATCCCTCACGACTGAATACATGAAGTGACATCGGCAATGAAACGTCTGGTACATACATAGGACAGGCACGATGACAGATGAACAGCGCGAGCAAAAGCAACTGCAGCAGCAATCACACAACATCAACATCAACTTCAGCAAGCAACTGCAAAGCAGCAACAACAAGATAAACCATAATAAGAACAAAACACCAGCAGCAGCAAGAGCAAAAAGATAACAAGAACAGCAAAAACAAGGCCAAGAACAGCGACAAGCAAGAACCGCAAAAATAATATGACCACCAACAATAATATGAACAACAGCAGTATCAGCATCAGCAAAAAGAAACGTGAACAAGCCATAGCAACGCTGGTAGGTAACATGAACAACAGCAAGACAAGTAACAAGAACAGCAACAAAAAGTAATAATCAATACAAGCAAGAGGAGGAGGAGCAGCAGCAGCAGCAGCAGCAGCGCCAGCAGCAGCACCAGCAACAACAACAACAACAAGGCTTGCGCATTGGAACGCTGGCGCGGATCCGCCTCTCTTTGGCAGGCGAGTGAAACTTGATGGGGAAGAAGCCCTAGTTCTTGGGCGTCAAGCTACTGTCAGGCTGTGGCAGCCATCAGCTGAAACATGTTACCGCCTCTGCTGTACTGGTAACATGTGGCATGATTCTGGCTTGCGGAACGCAATCACGCAATCGGTGCCTGTCTGTAAAAAAAAGCCATTGGACATATTAGCGAGGATACCTGAGCCAGCCACTCTCTGAGCTATGTGGCCATCGCGTGTGCCATGCAGGTCACTCGGCTGATGTCCACTGTCAGGGAGACGCAGTATCAACCCTGGGAGAAAATGAGGTTGCTGCGGCAAGAGCACGTGATTCAGAGCTCTTGTCCAACACTCGTCCTGAGAGGATTGCGGGCTGGTGGTCTGACCTTTCTAGAAGGATACCTCGACCAGAAGGCATGCATTTTTGTGCCACAAGAATCAAGTTGGAGATGCCGCCAGGTAGAGAGAAAGTTCAAAGGGCACGTCAAAAAAACTCCGTGTTGTTGAGCGTGTTCTTGCTGATATACTGCGTTTCACATGGCAGGAACCGTAGGCACCCTAACACCACAAGGCCCTGGCCTGCCTAATGCGTAAAATGGCTTTGGAGGGGGTGTGTTGGGTAGGATGATGTTTGGTGGTTGGTGCAGGCACAGTAGCGACTCAACCACACAGAATCAAATTCCGGAATTACACTTGCTTATTGGATTTCGGTGGTTTGACCTTTGGCGGGATGCCTGCAAGCCAAAGGAACCCGGAGCAAATGCAGAGGATGCCGGCCCCGGCGCGAAAAGCGGAGACACAGGCAGCCACACAAGCGTATCTAGGTACCGGAACCTTGAAGCAATCGTCCAAGTACACTAACTGCGATAATCTGCAGTGGATACGGTACACCTCATATGCGAAGGCAACAGAACGAGTCCAAGACCTCACTAGCTCTCTGCACCCGGACTCAACCCTATTCCACCTTCTTGCACGTGCAAGATACCTAGGAAAGAACCTTCGAGGTGTGATGATTCGGATGTTGTAATACAGATTCCAAACCCAGTCGTGAAGTGATTCCAACACAGTAGGATAAACTTCGGCTGTTGGCATACATGGATGGCAGGGAGATGCAACTACGGAAATTCAGTAGCTACATGTCAGCAGAGGTGCACACGACCAACCTACGGCCTTGACTCAAAACCTAGGTTACAACAAACACAGTGCAGCATTATATGGAAAGATCGATGAATGGGGCAGGACTCCTGACAGGACAATGAATGCCCTACTGCACACCGACTTCTAACTATGGCATGGCACCGGGATCTAGACCAAGCAAAGTGAAGTGTAGCTGAGGCTGTCAACCAGTTGAACATAGCAAGTGTGTTACTAAGGAAGCAAGCAAACAGAAGTCATCTCCACACTTTTCCTCGAGCCAAATGATCGTAGAATACGGCTTCCGCAGAATTCCAAACTCTGAAATTTGCACCCAAGAGTACTTGAAAAGGGTCAAGACTAAGGTTAATTGCGGCTCGGATCCTGTGAAGTAGGCGGGGGGGTCCCTAGCATGACTATATAGAATTAAGGATCCATTGGGTTTCCTAGATGTTGATTGTTTTTTGAATGGTGTTTGTGCAGGAATTTCTATAAAATCTGAAAGTGATGTTAATTTGTGCTATTGCGTTGCTAGACGGTCTTATTTAGATTCTAGTTCGATTAAGTAAAATTGAACTGATTGTAATCCGATTCTGATTAAATTTCGGTTAGGTTTTAATCATGTTNNCAGCATTTGAATAGGTTTATTTAGACATACTAATTAGATGTCAACTGCTTTTGATTTGATTTCAACCATTTAATTTCAATGAACTTTATCATTTTAGAAAGGATTCTATTACGATCTGAAACAGATTTAACCGATTCTTATTCAATTTAGTCGACTTTTATTCGATTTCAATTGGATGCCCCCTATGTTTGGGTCGTACGATGAATACTCCCCCTCTTTCATTGACTACGGGTCGGAGTATATTACGTTAGGATACGCTAGGATACGTTAGGAAGGAGGGCGTGCCGTAAATATACAAGGGGGAAAGGATTACTGCTAACAACATGAAACAACCACTAACAAAATCAAGAATTGTAGCAGCAGAAAACAGCCACATCCTCCATTAAGGGTTCGATGGATTCTTTCAGCGGCAACGTGAAGGTCGTCGACAATTCAGTCAGCAGCACCACTCAGAAAAAGTTTCAAGCGAGAATCACGATTGTTAGTAGAAGGCGTTTCAGTGCTCATAGCTTCATGCGGTACCAGCACGTCCATCGGCTTGATACGTGAAGACAACTCTCCTGAAGCTCCCGCTAGGCACGGATCAAGCCCACGTCAACGAGGTCATCGCAGCTGTCAACAAACTACTGTGTGCCAGGTCCAGCACGTACAGATCTCTCTACAAGCGTAAAGTTGTTAACTGCAAATGTACGATTCTCGTTGAAAGCATTGCCACGGCGGACTCCAGAAGCATTCACATGGGTGTTATCCAAAATTCTCTTATCCACACCATCGCGAACTTTCGCGGAAGCTCTTCAAAGCCAGCCTGCGGTCGTTTTTTCTAATAAGAACCTCCACAAGGTGTTTTCGGATAAGCCCCTCATGCAAACCCCAACGTGAACAAAGCTAAGCCCTTTTCAGAGTTAGTGGTTCACAGTTTGGAACTTTCTGGTGTCCGTCGGGAAGCACTAAACCTCGAACGCAAGCTAGCCTCCAGAAGGCTTTTGGGTGGTGACCGCCAGCGGAACAAACAAAATCGAACCATGTGCTCGCGAGGAAAAAGCCGGGGGGAACGGAGAGCCACTTACTGGCTGGCCTTGAGGCCCGATGTGACCAAAATCTGCCAACATGCCATCAAGATGCCAGTGACGCCTTGTCGAAAAGCGCTGCCTCATGCTGTACCAGTGGCCCGGCAACCCTATTTGAAGATTGACTTCGCTACGTCAAACGCTATGAAAAAATCATGTCACGAAGCGCAGCTGAGTGACACAAGTATGCTTCTCCTTGGTTTTTGGCAAAGCATGGAAGGAGACAACTGGTAACGAACCAATTCAAGGGCCTGCCCGCCTCACATGTCAATGAGACACCATCATGTG